GCCCGCTGGCAGCCTCTGCACTCGGGCATCAATTGTGCCTGCTCCTGCCTGGCTCCGCTGTACTGCCGTCGGGCTGGGGACCCGCTCACTCGCGGCTCTCGGGCACTGTCCCTTGGAGTCCTGGCGTCTCGCTTGCGGCGCTGCCCGCACCCCTCATCGTCCCTGACCCTGGGGAGGTGCTGGAGGAGGTTGGCTGGGCCGGGGCCTGCATGTCAGGCTGCTGGCTTGTACACCACTGTCCAGAGCTCCCTTTGCTCTGTAACAGCCCCTCGGACGTCTCAGGGTGCCCCCCTTCCAGCCCCGGGGCGTGGTCCATGCTGGGCCCAGTGCAGAGCACTGCCTGTGCCCTCTGGAGCCCTCGGGGTGGCAGCGGGGGGGGGACACGGATCTGCGCACACCTGATCAGCATCAGTCACCAGTGAGGCACGGCAACGGTGCTAATTAGAGCTCAGCTCCAGGCTCCCGTGCCCCCAGGGACAGCTCCTGTGCTGCGGCTGCAGGGAGAGACCGTGTAGGGCTGGGGGGAAACGTGCCAGGGAAGGGGAGGGGGCGAGGGAGGCACCTCCTGGGGAGTGGCGAGGGAGGGGGACCTTGGGACAGCTGGCAAGGATGCACAGGGGCCCGGTGCCCCGCTGGCCCCTGCCTGCACGCTGCCAAGGCCACTGGGGTCTGGCTTGTCCGTCTGTCCCAGCCCAGGTCACAAGGATCCTGATTCCTGAAGCTGCAGCTCAGTGCTGGATCCCTGGCCTAGCGCGGGGCACGTCTGCACCCCAGCGCATTGCACTGTGGTTGACACTGTTGTGCTCGGCCCCAGCGCGGCGCCCGCTGCTTGCCCTGGCCGCAGCGTTGGGCTGCCTCCAGGCCCGGTCTGCAGAGCGGGACTGTAGCACGGAGGCGAGGAGACCTGCCTGGTGCTCTGGGCCCTGCACCAGCCTGCAGCGGGGGCAGCTGTGTGATGGGAGGTGCTGCCCCGTGTCTTTGTTGTGGTAGGGGGTGCTGGTGCTGGTGCAGGAGCCTGCCATGCTCACCCCCCCAACCTGCACGGGGGGAGGGGGCCAGCCTTCTCCCCCACCTTCCCCCTGGCAGCGTAGCGCATCCCCGCCATCGGGCCAGGGCCGGGGCCGTGCCCGCTCGGGCGTGCGGCCTGTCTGTGCTGAACGCGGCACTTTATAAATGGGATGTTGGGAGCCATCTGTTTAAGGGAGGAGATAATGAATTAGGGGGAGATGAGAAAAATGCTAAGGCCGGGCTGTTTTTCAGAAAGAGCCGGGGTTTGCGGGACGCGCAAGATGAATAACCTCGCCGCGCCTTCAATATGCATGAGCTCCCCACTGCGCCACGGGGCCTGTGCCTGGGGTGCAGGCAGGGGGACGGCCGTGCTGGTGTCCCCCCCACATCTACCCTCCTACCAGAGCTGCCTGCTCTCCTCCAGGGCAGCCGGGTGAGGCTGCGGCAGTGACAGACCCCCGTCTCCCTCGGCTTGCGTGTGCCTGGGAGCGCAGCTCGAGGCTCTGGCAGCCGCAGCGGCACGAGGGAAAGGGCAAGGAGCGTCCTGCGCACGCAGTTGCTGCCCCCGCGGCCCCGTCTCGTGCGGTGCCCCGACTGCCGGGCGCTGGCCCCGCTGGCCGCTGGAACCAGGGGTCCGGGACTTGGACTGGGTGAGCAAAACCAGGCCCTGGGGCCACGGCAGCTGGCCCCTTTGTTTTTGGTGCTGCGGGGGGGCCAGGAAGCAGCGCAGTGCCTGGGCACGGGGCAGCGTGGCAGCCTTTGTGGCACTCAGCCCTGGCCTTGGAGGAGCCGTCTCACTCGCCCCGGTCTCTTCAGGACCGTGCAGCACAGGGCCGGGGCAGCTCTGGGCTCCTGTCACACGTGCCCTGGGCCACAGGTGCCGGCGCGCGGGGCCGGTGACGCTGCCAGGGCTGGGCCCCTCCTCCCTGCGCCCGCCCAGGGCCTGCACGCAGTTAGCACTCGCGGGCACCTGCGGGGAGCAGGGGGTGGGCACCGCCCCCAGCTTGCTGCCCCCCTCCTGTTGCTATTTCACTTTCGTGCTCCTCACCCCCAGGGACTCTCTCTGGGGTTTGGGCCAATTTGCATACATTTTAATCTATAAAAAATTAAGCGGTGCTGGCTGCTGCTCTGAGTCAGACCTCCCCGTCCTGAATCTTAAGGAGCTGAATAATTTTCCACTTTTGCCGAGATGTGTGGAGTCTGATTCACGCCGAATCCCTCGCCTTCCTCAGAGGAGGGGGCTGGGGTCAGGGCTCCGCTTCTTGGGGCTCCCCACCCCCTGCCAGCCCTGCCCCCCAAAATCTCCCTGTCCCGCAGCAGCTGGGGCTGCCCCGGGGCACTGCTCGCAGGCGCCGTCCTTCTGGGGATGCTGCAGCTGTGCCGGGGGGAGGCCCAGGCAGCGCGAGGGACGACACGGCGCGCCCGACCGGCAAGGTGCGTCGCCCTCCCAGCTGGGAGCTGCTCCCCAGGCGGAAGCCCCCCCGGGGGGTTCCCGGCGGAGGCTTCGGGGGGCTGCCCTGCGCTCGGGGAAGCTCTGGCTGAGTGCCGGCGTCCCGCCCTCCCCTCCCGGGCGCTGACGGGTGCGATTGAGCTGTTAATATTCAGCACGCTCTGTGGTTTCTCCACCCTCTGCCATCTGCCCAGATCTACCCACCGCTTCTATTCTTGCCTGGCGCGTAAGAGTCCCTGCCCCGGGCTCTGGGTGCAGCGTGCAGCGCAGGGCGGTGCTGGGAGGCTCTGGCCCGGGCCCTGGGAGCTGCGCCGGGGAGGTCTGCGTGGCCAGGCTCCGTAGCCAGCTGCTGCTCCTGTTCCTGCTCCAGGCCTGGAGGGGCCCTTGCAGGCAGGGCTCGGGCATCCCGTCAGCAGCCTCTGCCGCAGCAGGGCCCGGGCTGAGCGCTGCGGGAGCTCGGCCTCAGCCGCTGGTGCCCATCTGGTGCGTGAAGGGGTGTCAGGGTCTCGCGGTTCACAGTGACTGTCACGGAGCCCCTGGCAGCCCCCGGGCCCAGACATCCCGGCCCCGCCATTCTGCCTTGCCGGGGGCTGCCCGGGTGCTAGGGCAGGTGTGGGGCTCCTTCCCCAGCGCTGCCCAGCTGCCGGGCCAGTGCTGGCAGGGAGGGCCGGCCGCGGTGCTCCGTCTTGTGTCCAGCCCTGGTGTGGCAGGGGAGGCCACGGTGGCGCACGGTGGCACGGTGAGATACGGCCCAGACAATGGAGGGAGCGTGCTCTGGGGAGCGCTCCGTGAAGCCCTGATGTAAATAAGGCATTAGCATATGGTTTAACCAGCCCCTCCAGGCGCAGGGCTTTGTCATTACAATACCTGCTTTCATAATTAAAATACCACAGCAGCTCCCCGGGAACGCGGCCAAGCTAATAATCCCCCAGAATGGTGCAATAAAACACCTACAAAGGTGGCGCCTTTAAATCACACAAGAGCCTCTGCCTTATCTCCCCGCTGCCCGGCTGCCAGCAGCCCCGGCCCGTGCCCGGCGCCCCACCCCGGCTGCGCTGGGCCAGCCCCGGGGCCCTGCTCCCTGGCAGGGCCTGGCCACGCTCTGGCACGTGGGACCGTGGAGCGGGGCTGGCTCGTCCCCGGCAGCGGG